AGCCTACGGAGCTGATATTTGGCAAGGTTGCGAGGCGGATGGGAGACGCTGTCAAGGTGAGTGTAGCGACGCTCGTGTACACCGCATTTATGACGATGCTGACATTATGGTCGCTGCCAGTACATGACGCGGGCGAGTGCCGGGTGCAACACCGCCGTGCTCATCGCGCCGAGTTCAGCACGACCGTCCTCCGAAAGCTGATTCTCGTCTGAAGCGGTGCAGCTGCACAGATACAAACCACGTCCATCTTCCTCGCTGGAAGCGCGTTCACCGTCTTCGGTGCGGCGGTCCATGTCGCATGTTTCCGGACGCTGGACATGCTCTTCACGTTCGAGGTGACGGTGAAGGAAGGCCACCAGCTGCGCACGCGCGGACCGTACTCTGTTGTGCGTCACCCGAACTACACCGGGTGGTGCGTGCAGACCGTCGGCGAGGGACTCGGAAGCGGGGTGGTTGGACAAGCCGGCAGGTATGGTCGCAGCGCACGTCTTCGTGAGAGGTCAGGCGTACGCCGGGCTGAGTATGATCATGCGATGCGGTCAGGAGGATACCTTGCCAGGGAGATGCAACTGCGCATGCACAAGGCCTTTGGGGACACACGAGGCGTTGGGATGGAATTTATTATCTGAGTACACTGAGCGTTACGACGGTAGGCGCTGCGCTGGGACTATTCCCCAGTAAGGACATACCGCATGAGCCGAATGAAAGGTCCGGGGTTCCCACTCGATATCCACGCTATCAACGTGAAGGCCCGAGATCATATCCTGTTGGGTCAAGCCGTCAACAGAGCCACAATAGCTGAATACGCAGCATCGTACCTACCCTTGGATCGCACGAGAAACACGAGTCGGTGATTAAACACATGCGCAATATATCTCTATCCTCACATTCCCCATACTAGAAAAGATTCCCCCGCTAGCCTCCCTTGTAGTACAAATGGCTAGCTCGTCGCCGGGTCGGAGGCTATTCAACCACTCCTGTAGTTCCGCATCCGCGCAGTCGTCATCTGTACGGAAACCGTCCCATTGTACCAGATGAATGGCGGGCCGGCGAGGCGTTTCCGTGAAATCGCGTACGATCAAACGGCGCTGGGTCGGCTTGCTTCTGGCCTGAACCTCGAGCCATATATGTGACGGGATGTCACTATTCGAGATGGACTCGGGCAACAACCATGAGTCTGTGAGTACGTACGTGAACTCTCACACGGATGTCTCGCAGTAACTGAGACACTCACCGATGTCGGATAATTCGATGGTGAATATGATTCTACGTACCGATCTGTGCACTTTCGCAGACTCCGGAATCCGTACACGGGCCCAGTAGAAGACCGCTTGTGGCGCATGGGAGGGATCTGGCACTGTAGCAGCGTCTACGTTCCCTGCTTTGTCGACCGCCCGGACCCAATACTCCGCATAGTCCAAGATATCGCACACGATGGTATGCGGCAATTCCAAATGGAGGAGTAACTGCTCGGTTTCAAAGACATCATTTGCATGTCTTGGAACATACCCATATCTTGTGTTTTGCACCGAAGTCAGAATGCCGTGAAGACAAGACTATTGGGAGAGACGCACGGTGATTGCGCCCGCAATTCATCTACAATATTCTTAAGTGGCTTATCCAATATTCTTTCCTGCTCTCCCGACAGCCCGACTCCCTTTAGCCGTCGGAACCGCAAGCCCATGCTTACCGGGGTATACTGGACCATCAAATCGTGGAGATGAGAGATTAGGTGTACGATTGCTGCGGTATGCGAGTTGAACTGCAGGAGTGGGTCGGTGACGGGGAGATTGCGCGCAAGCTCTACGATTTCGTGGAGGTGTTTACCGGGCGCTGAGGCATTGACCATGTGGCGGGGTGCGATTGTGAACAGAGTCATCAACAAAGAGTTTGCCGTGGCCTCAACCTCCATTCCGTCTATCCCAGGTGAGTGGAATGAGTACGACTCGCCATGGACGCGCAGTCGCCCGGTGCGCCATATCGTCCCCCAATGCACTCCCGATTCGTAGTCGCGCTGCATTGTTTGCATGGAAGCACAACCTGAAGGCGAGTTTCAAGTTACGGTTACTATCCATTGTCATCGGCCCATCGCACCTTAGACTGGTGTCGACCTCGGTTCCAAAGTCAATCCCAAGTGGCGCACCTTGAGTTTGATCACAATGCTCGTGCCATATGTGGGCAGACGCGCGAGAGCTTCTCTATAACGCCGGCACCTCGGAGATCCTAAGTCTGGGTGTTCGACGAACGACTGGCCCTCCGAAGAGAGCGCGACAACTTGAACTTGAACTGAGTGGCCGCTGCAGAACCGTGACGACCGACGCGGCGGCACGGTGGCACCACAGCCACCAGCGATCGAGATCTACGCCACGACCGCCATCAAGTCACTCAGCTGCGACAGGCGCCGACAGCCTCAGCCTCAGCCTCACTGGCCTGAGCTCAAATTGCTAGACTCCAGGCCTATACGACGTCTACCATCATGATATAAAGCGTTTTATTGCTTCCAGTTTGGTTTCGGGCAACCTAGAATTCATGGCACCAAGTTGCCAATGGGCCGAGCCTCGTGAGGTTGTGAATTTCGAGTCTCAGGCTGAGTCGACTGCCAGTCACGTATGTACAGTATGTCGTTCTCCCCGACGTTCACTGTCAACCCTATAGCTTACAGTGAAAAAAAGGATACTCGCTGGAACTTGCGCTGATGCAGACAAAGCGGGTCGAAGTCTCTACTTAAACACATCATGTACTCACTTCACCAGACTAGCTTAATTCCCTAGGTCGACCCCGAGCGTAGCTGTCTGTCTGATCTTCTGTCGATGCTCCTATTTGCAGGTCTTGCGGTACGTCGCGGAATATTATCTACGTCACGCTACCGTCTCGCTCGCCCTGATGCGGAGTCCTCGACTCACCGTGTTACCAGGCTATCCACCCAGGGATGTTTTGTCCTGTGCCGCATTAGAATCACTCCCGCCTTCGCGCCCCGTTTCCTACTCGTGCCGGCCGCGGAGTACACCAATCAGGCATATCGTGCGCATCAGCCATTATCATGCCCGTCGTCCGCATGGCGCTGACCATAGCCTCGCCGTTTTAAGCCATCGTTGTCTTCGAGGTGGACCCACAAACACCCAAATGCAGAAAACGCCCTCGTATCACGGTCCACGCTACGGACCGGACTGGGCTCGTGGATGTGACACCCACGTGTTCGTGCCCTTTGTGCCAACCGAATAAATGGACCTCGATATGCGGCCCTCTTCCGTCCAACCGCGACTCCTCCTCCTCTCTCCCCACCTCCAGGCTACCTCCCGCCCATGCTTCTTGGTCGCTCACTATCTGGCTCTGCTCTCAAGTGGTTCTCGTCAGCCGCTCCGGGTTCTGGATGCCGACGCCACAACGACGCCACTCGTCGACAAAGGGCACGCGTCGTCGCGCACGGTACGTCTACCATGCCCTCCCAAAGGACGCACTGAGTCTGATTCTGGCGCGTAGACCGACGCTCACGTCGCGTTCGAAGCTTCGCCGTCGGTCCCTGCCAGCCACACGCGACCTCGAGTGGCATTCATCGACTGTCAGCCTGCGCCACCGACGCGTCGCGAGTTCGACCAGCCGCCGGTCAGCCGCCGTGATACTTAAGGTGCCTGCCCTCTGGACTGCGTACGTTTCTCTTGTCTGTCTTGTCCTCGTCTGCGCCTGCTCCGCCTGTCCGACCTGTTGCGTCCGAGTAAACTCGGCGGCGATATCCATTGGGAGATTGGTACGTCTGCTCGCTCGTCGTCTCACATGTCCCCTACTCACCACCATTCGTACGTCAAGTGCCCAATGAATCGTAAGGGAAAAGATGGTCACACACAGCAACAGAGTTGCGTCAACATGTGTGTGACGCGTCAAACGCCGGAAGCGGGGGCTGCGTCAAGAGCCCGACGTCGGGCGAAGGGTCAAGCGCCGCAAGGTAAAGGAGGCTGGCCTCAAGGGAGCTCGAACGAGCGAAGGGTCAAGCGCCGACTGGCTTGCCTCAAGAGCTCAGTTTTGAGTGAAGGGTCAAGCGCCGCAAGAAAGTCACAAGAGCTAGCATCCAGGGCTCGGATTCGAGTGAAGGGTCAAGCGCCGCAAGAAAGTCATGGGAGCTAGCCTCCAGAGCTCGGTTTTGAGTGAAGGGTCAAGCGCCGCAAGAAAGTCATGGGAGCTAGCATCCAGGGCTCTGGCACGAGCGAAGGGTCAAGCGCCGCAAGGACATGGCTGCGTCAAGTCCTCCCGAGGGCGGGCGGGCATCGCGGGACGCGGTGTCTGTCCGGGCGCGGACCTTTACGTGGTCCTCGGGATAAGTACCCTCGCATTCGTGCGAGGGGAAACTAACTCGCGCCGAATTCAAACCCGAGGTGGGAGGTATGTTTGCGCAACTACACGTATCTTCGTACCAGATCGCGCTTCTGTTTGCACGTACTATATATATTTCTGTTCTTGTGGCCTGTCGACGCGTATGTGATCGTAAGGGACTTCGCCACGCGATGCAAGAGCTGAACTTGTCGAACCATCTTCGACTACGTGTCGGATTCTGCTATGGAAAAAGACGCGTCGTTGTTGTAATTGCGGTGACCTCGACGTTTCGAGATCGCGTGAAGGCAACGATGGCATGAAACCGACGCGCCTTGGAGCGCGTCGTGCACGTGAGCGCGGTGTGTTGAAACGCCGCTGGGGAGGCCGCGCGGTCTATTTCGGGCAGACGCGCTCGCGATGCCGCTATTCTCGCAACGAGCCCACTGCTTCTCGTCCCCGTCCTCTGCGCTCCCATCGACGTCCGCTGCGTGCTGGAGACCAGGCTGAACACCATCCAAGGCTTGTTCCTCGTTGCGTGGAGTCAAGTCATATAGAGCAAAGGTCAGCAGGCGGCGCATGGCGGCAAGTGCCTGTGAAGTCATCGACCTCATTCCCGCCTTCCTGATCCTCTCGCACGACCACTTAACACCGCAGCCCTTCTCTCTTCTCGGGGCCGAGCACCCATCCCTGCCGCTATGCCACCCCAAGTCGACCTCATCTTCGTCTTTCGCTCCTCCCCAGCAAGAGTACTGTCTAGACGCGACGCGCGCGAGAATGCAAGGCAGGCAGAGCGCCAATACACAAAGCTCCTCGATGTCCTCAAGGCGGGCGGCTTGCGTGCTGTCGGGAAGCGCGGGGAGAACGACGGGCAGCTGCTAGTCCTTGTATCATGTCCGCAGAGCACGTTAGCACGGTTAGCACAGCGTGAACGGTGAGTCGATATTATGCTGGTGTGGCGTGCGCACTCATGGCCCCGGAACAGACATTCAGATTTCATCTGCGGCCTCCCTACTACAAATCCTACTGCCGCTCTCGATCTAACCTCTCTATCATTATCTTCTGCCGACCGACTACGACTCATTCACGCATATGTAACATCAACCGTAACGGACGGTGGCCTGGGTGTGGCGCCAGGCTCGAGTAACTGGGACCGCGTCGAGTCGGTCATGATGCTTCATGACAACCAATTCAACGAAGAATGGATTCGCTCCTGGACCCGTAAGGAGCTGGGCTTCGTGACGCTGACGGAGATCCGTAAGCAGGTACGTTCTGACTTTCGCTAGACCAACGCTCGCACTTTGCTCACCAGCGGGACTGTAGTTTGGCGAGGCCATCGCGCTCTATTTCGCCTTCCTCTCGTACTACACAAAATCCCTCATCTTCATCTCCGTCGCCGGCGCGTACTTCTACTTCTTTCACGAGGCCTACTCAGTGGTCTACTCGTCCATCCTCCTCCTCTGGTCAACAACCTTTGTTGAGTCTTGGCGGATTCGACAAAGGATACTCTCCGTGCGGTGGAGGACGCGCGGTTCATTCCGCGTCGAGAAAAGGCGCGCCCAATACGTGCCCATCTCATGGTGGAAGAAAGACCTCCGGATGCTCGCTGGGCTGCCGGTCATCATGCTCTTCGCTGCTATCCTCGCCGCGCTACTGATGGTCGTGTTCGTATTCGAGGCGTTTATCACAATGCTCTACACAGGGCCTGGAAGCCGCTTCGTTGTATGTCTCTCTCCTCACTGAACTGCGTCCCTCTGACCCGCCTCACAGTCCTTCGCACCAACCATCATCGTCTCTGTCCTCGTCCCGCGCTTCCTCAGCATCTACCACCGGTATGCCGTCTCGTTCACGAACTGGGAAAACCACGGGCACCAGTCGAGCCACGACGCGTCGCTCACGCTCAAGTCGTTCACGCTCGCAGGCATCGTCGACTACCTCGGTCTTGCGCTCTCCGCGTTCGTGTACGTGCCCTTCGGGGAGGAGACGATGGCGTTCATCCAGCGCACAATCGAGAAGGACTCCGTGGCAAACCGCAACCTGACGTCCACACTCTACTCCGCCACCGCCAAGTTTGCGTCTGCTTCCGCGAGTGCGGGTGCGGGTGCGGACGCAAGCGAGACGGCGGGCAAGGCACGGAGCCTCTGGGAGATGGACGTTATGAGTGCGCGGAACAAGCTCAGCCCGACGCGCCTGCAGGACCAGATGTTCGCGATCACGGTCACGAACCAGGCCGTGAACGCGTTCCTTGAGATCGGCCTGCCGTACGTCCTCCGCGCTGTCGCCGTGCTCCGCCGCCGCGGACTCCGCCCTGGAGCATCCGCGAACGGGTCCGCGAACTCGGGCAAGAAGAAGCGCGTGTCGTTTGAGGACGAGGCAGATGGGAAGGGGACAGCGCCAGAGAGGGAAAGGGAGAAAGGGGAGGAGAGGGTGTTCATGGAGGAGGTGTGGAGGCAGGTCGCACTGCCGCCGTATGAACTGTTCACAGACTACAACGAGATGGTCACCCAATTCGGGTACGTCGCGCTGTGGTCGACGATCTGGCCGCTCGCTCCGCGTGAGTTCCTCGTCACACCCTACCCTTACTGAGATCGATCTGACGTGTGGGCAGTGATGGCCCTGACGAACAACTGGTTCGAGCTGCGTTCCGACGCGTTCAAGATCTCGAAGCACGTCCGCCGCCCGATCCCCGCGCGCACGGACACGGTCGGCCCCTGGCTCGACACGCTCCAGTTCCTCGCCTGGCTCGCGTTCCTCACCAACTCCGCGCTCGTCTACCTCTTCCGCCCGCTCGACCACTGCAAGGCGCTCGGCACGTCGCTCGACCGCCACCACACCCACCTCGCAGGGCGCAATGCGGGCCCGCGCGAGATCCTCGGCGCGGCGCTGCTCGTTGCGCTGGGCGCGTCGCATGGATACATCCTCGTCAGAGTCGTCGTGCGCCATGTGCTCGAGAGACTGATGTGGCGCGGGACGAAGGAGGAGTGCGAGGTGGAGGCGGTTGAGACGGCGGTGAAAGAGGAGTACTTGAGGGGCTTGGGCGTCGCGGACGTGGCGAGCGCGGGCGCAGGCGAGATTGCAGAGGCGGATGCGAAGGACGGCGAGACAGATCCTTTTTGGACGTACGATGAGGGGCTGGACGAGCTCTCGAGGGAGACCAAGGAGTCATGAGGCTGAGAGGCGTCTGCTAAGTAGAGTAGACGTGTTTTCTTCTGGCTTTACATGCTGTTCGCGTTTGTGCTTGTTTTCGGACCGCTGAGTGTATGCTACGACAACATAATGTATCGTGAACGAGAGCAGGACGCTGCATAATAGACGACGTCGTGCTTGCAGTCCAGGTACAAGTCCCGCGCGATTTTCATTCCACACTGGCTCGATCAGCAAACAACACGCACTCGGAGCAATTGCACAAGAATACGGCGATACATAAATAGTACTACAGGACAGCATACTACATACACTTCGAAGTAAATCCAATTGTTCCATAACTATTCCCGAACAAGTTCAGCACCCTGCTCAAGCAGGCGCGCCGACACCCTGCGGGCCAGGATGTGGTGCCTGCGCGTTCTCGCCGGACACCTGCATCCCCGCGAGCTGGTTCGGCAAGCCCTGGTATTGCGCCTGCCACGCACCCTGCTGGGGTTCTCCATGCGCAGGCTGAGAGAGCACTGGAGCAGGCGAAGTGGAGTAACCTGCCGGTGTGATGCCATAGGGCGACGTACCGTACGCAGGTTGCTGATGGTACGTACTTGATGTCGGACTACCGGGTGCTTGCTGCTGCACACTAGGGACCTCCGAACCCGCGCGGGCCGCAGCGATTTCGCCAGCCGATTGTCCCGAAGGTGTCGATGCGCTCAAGTCCGTAGTTGACACCTGCGCCTGCTGGGCCACAACGGTCTGCGCAGTGTCCTGCGAACTGCTGCGTGAGACGGGTTGCTGCTGCTGAGCCTGCGCTGGATGGCCTTCCTTGACCCCAGGCACGGAGACGAAGTAGACAGAGCCGGTTGGGTCCGTTCCGCCTTGAGCATAGTACTGCGCCCAGGCCTGCACATTCGGGTCGGGATAGGTTGCATTGGGGTCATACACGAAGGGCGGGCCACTCTGCTGCCGCTCAGGCTCGGGCCGGGGCTCCGCTTGAGCTTGAGACTGAGGCTGCGGTTGGGCTTGTATCTGCACCTGCGGCTGCGGCTCCGGTTGTGCATGGACTTGGGGCGTCGGCGTGAGCTGGGTCGAAACGGGAGCGCCAGCTTGTTGGAAAGGCGTAGCTTGCACCTGTGGGTGCGCTTGAAGCTGAGGCTGAGGCTGAGGCTGCGCTTGCTGAGCAGGCTGACCGGCAGGATAGATCTGGGACTCGGGCTGGCCGCCATAAGGCGTAGGGGTGCCGTAGACTTGCGGTTGACCGTACACAGTCTGTGGCCTCTGAGTATACGGGTTGGAGTCATATGCGGGCTGGGGGCGAGCGGCGGGAGAGTAGGCACGCTCAGGGCCTTGCGCGTAACCCGGCTGGGAAGCAGGATAGGCGTTGTAGCCTTGATCATAGCCTGCTGGACCGTAACCGTAAGGCTGAGGACCTGGCGGCATGCCATATTCTTGACGAGTACGGGAATCGGGGCGGGCGATGTACGATGATTGAGTCTGAGCGTACGAGGGACGTGCATCATACACTGCAGCGAGGTAAACGGCCTAGCCTCTCATTTCAGAAAGGAAGGGAGACGTACTGGCACTGTTTCGCGCGAGGCTTTCCTCCATCATTCGGTCGAATATGGTCCTCGCCTTCACAAACGTCTCATTCATTGAAACGAGGTCAGCTATAATCAAGTTAGCATGCAGATGATATGTGTGCGCAGACGTATTACGGACCTCGTTTCTGACTATACTTGTCAATCAGCTTGACGATTTTGGGACGCAGAGTCATGCAGTTCCTGTACACTTCCTACGACGGCCATGAGCAAACCATTGGCTGACGTATACATATATTGACCAACCTGGATCTCCTCATTATCCGCGAGATTGTCCTTTGCGGGATCCATACCACGGAGCAACGTCAGCAGACGATCCACATTCGCAGCTTGCGAGAACACAGCAGCCTCCTGCTCCGCTTCTCGGGCGAGTTCAGCCGCTGTAAGCTCCGGCAAAGGCTCCACATAGTTCACAGGGAAGATACCCGTCCTGCCCTTCAACTGGCCACGCCACCAATCCTTGTATCCTCGGTCAACGACCTTGATGATGTCGCCCTTCTCGAAAGCCAGTTCTCCGGCCTCAGTGGGCTCGAAGGTGTGTAGCGCCCGGACCCTGGTGACTATGGAGACACTGTCGTGGCCCGATGCACCAGGCGTTGAGGAAGGCGTAATAGAGCTCACAGTGGTCGCTGTGGATGGTGAAGAAGTGTTGGCGGCAGAAATCGCCGGGCTGGCTGAGGGCACGTAACCGCCATAACTTGTTTGCTGCTGGCGGGGCGGCTGCGCGGTGTTGGTTGCCGGTAGATTTATGTTCGAGCCGGATCCGCCTGCACCGCTTGACGATGCAAGCGAGTAATTGGCCCATTGAGGTCGTCCACCCTTGTCGTGCATGGACATCTCCAGGACGCGTTGTAGCTCCTCCTCTTCCCGGCGACGAACTTCGTCATCCACATCTGGCGGCGGAGGCTCATCTGGCGTCTCGAACTTGTATCCTTGGGTGGCGCATGCTCAGCATGTCCTACTCTAGTTGTAAAATGATGCGACATACCCTTGCTCTTTAGAGACTCGAAGCATTCCTCCATAATCCCGAGCGTGGGGTCCTTCTCGAACTCCGATGTCCACTGAGCAATCAATGATAGGGCTCGCCGCCGAACTTTGTCGTGTGTGGTCTAACATCGACAGCACATGTGAGCTATGACACAGACGGGAGGTAGGTTACGAATCGTACCCGATCGGTAACCAGCTTCTCCAGTCCCTGGGTGAACGCGCGCGATGCGATCTCCCTATGCACCTCAATTCCGCAGTTCTTCGTCAACGACTCCGCAAGAGTCAACGTATATAGTTGTACGTTAGGATTGCGATGCGCCAGACGTTTGAGGACGGCGGCGACGATATTGCGCGCGCTGAAATGGTACCCGGATGCATGAGTTACATGGTTACACGCCCTCAGCCTCACGCACCCTGGTTCACCCTCATCGAGGACCTTGTCGCATAGATTCAGGATCAACTCCCAATTCTCATTCGTCAGGTTTTCATCAGTCGTTTTAGCTGAAGACGACCCATCAGCCGAAGCACCTCGGAGCCCGTAGAGGCGCAATGATCTCACTCACCAACGATCTCGTCGTAACTGTTGGTCTGACCGCTCCTGAACATGATTGTCGGTCGGTGGTGTTGAGAGTATCAGGGCAAGGGCTGCGTGCGCGACTACGCGTCGTCGGGAATAAATAGCAGTCTGGCACTGGGGACGACTGCGCTAACCGTTGGCGCAGCGAGCTCGGTGATGCAGCGCCCCAGCAACCAGGCGCGGGTGGTCTCCGGACCGCGGGACTTCCGCAAGAGGAAGCGTCTGGACCTCGGCATATCCGTCGGCCACATCCTGGAGATGCTATTGGCTAGCTGGCCGTGCCGGAGGTACCTCTCCGGCAAGCTTCCCAAAATGACATGCCCGAGGTTAGACCGAACGCACTCGATTAGGAAGTATACGCCAGACACACTCGCGCTCATCCCATCTACCTTTGTCTCTTCATCCTTTTGATATCCATCGCTATGGCCAAGGGTGTGTCCTAGAATAGTGGACTGCATGGTCGGCTCTCTGATACACCTTTAGTTCCGCGGAACTTCCGCCTTTTGGAAGAGCTCGAGAAGGGCGAGAAGGGCATCGGAGACGGGTCGTGCTCGTATGGTCTCGAGGATGGCGACGATATCATGATGAGCCATTGGAATGGCACGATCATTGGTCCAGGACATGTGAGTGCTATCGGTGTTTTGCACGGCTCATGGGTCTTGGAGGGTGGCTCGCTGAAGTGATTGACAGACCGTGCACGAGAACCGCATCTACAGCCTCAAGATCACTTGTGGCGATCACTACCCTGAGGAACCGCCTAACATCCAATTTATCTCTCGGGTCAACCTGCCATTTGTTAGTCAATTCGATGGGAAGGTCGACACGTCGAAGCTGCCCGTACTTGCCCATTGGAACAGGAACAGCAGTATTGAGACAGTCCTAGTAGAGATCCGAAGGTGTGTCACACACTTCACCCTTTACCCTCTCTCCATCCTCATGTCAACTTACGATACAGGGAGATGGCATCCTTTAACAACAGGAAATTGCCCCAGCCTCCCGAGGGCAGTACCTTCTAACCACATCGAGAGCTCCGTCACGAATCCTGGACACGTTTAAGGCCCAATGTACTAAAGATACTTGAGAGTTTGTAGCATGGATCCATCGTCATCGTGTGTTAACCATATCTGCGTAGCTATCACTGGACCGAATCATTTCCGCGCACATCGGTTGGGACCATGATCGAGTGCCATCTTCGCTCACGTTGGATGCGCAACTTGCGCTAAGTCTCGTCACCCATCATCAATGTCCCCACCCTCGGCGAGTTATTCTGCAAGGTTGTGCTGCACCACGCGTTTGAGTACATCGATTATCGCCACGCCCTCTACTACGTTCACGGTACGCCACTACGGTTGTTTGTGCAACCCAACGATGTCGAACAAATCGGCCCACGCCCGAGCCAGCACGACATCAGTCTGAGGGAATTCGAAGGTGTGCGGGTAAGGAGTCATTTCAGCCGTGGCATATAACTAGACAGCCACAGTGCGGTCTAAGTAACGAGGCTCGACTGCGGTGGATATGGTATGTACTTGCAATCCATGACCTACATTATCAGCGGATTAGTTGACCCATCCCGCGCCGTTCGCATTGCTTGAGGTGCTGCCCCTCTGTAATCGGAACTGGCACATGGTCTCCTCCTCCCGCGAAGGTTACTACTGGCAGTACAGTATGAATCGAGACCATGCCGCAAGAACCACCGTGAGCCCACGTCAACTCAAGGACAGTAGACTGATGGTTCTAGAATAGTTGACTGATTGGACTCCGTGACGATCGAGGACCGTCTATCACCGCATGACATTTGCACAACGAAGCAGTATGAATGCCGAATGTGTACACCCGTCGACGTCGAAAGTGAAACTCTCAGGTAGCTCAGGTCCGCCAACTGCATGGTCTACAGAGAGTAGCAGAGTCTGCAGACTTCACAGTTTCAACGTGAAGCAGGGGCGCTGTCAGGCGCGAATAGGACGGAATCCTTCGTAATACATACGCGTAGGGGATGCACACGAGTACGAATACAAACGAGCGATTAGGGTATAGTAATACGACAGTGCCCTTCCGGCATAAAGAAGATCATAAATCAGGGGAACGAATGTGTCGACGGTCTAAGAGAAAACGAAGTGATCCGCCTCCAATAGCCTGTACGTGGGGTGAATAGTGGTGCAGTGTGAAGCAAGTTAGGGCGTTGGAAAATCCTCCTGCTACGTAGATGCCAAGTGTCCGTCGCAATGCGTAATTTATCTTTCACGACTATGGGTCGGTCGGTGAGAGGCCTCGGTCTTTTCTTGTCGCGTGAACGAGCAGATCCTTGCCCTTGATCCACCGCACGAACCAGTCGCCAAGGGTGACGCCCCAAAGCATGTCGAAGTACGCGGCACCTTTACTCTGCACGCCGCCGGATCGTCAGCAATCGTGTCATGCATCCCCGAACAGCTACGACTCACCCTGCCGATAGGAATGAGAATAATTTCCGTACTCCCCTTGTATGCCCTCGTCTGTGGCCGTCCTTCGAGGAAGCTCACGACGTTTGGGGCGCAGATGTCCGCATGTACTGGGTACTTCATCCCCTGCTTCTGCTCGTTCCAATCCGTGATGTCGCCCACTGCGAACACACCCGGATGCCCCACGACTTCGAAGGTCGGCTTGACCTTCACCAGCCGCCGCTCGTCCAGTGCGTCCAGCCCGAGCGACGCGATCCACGCAGTGTTCGGCCGAGGGCCAAATGTCGGGACAATCAGGTCGGCGGTGGGAATCGACATGCCGGAACGTGTGGTGAGGCCGACGGTGCCGTATTCAGGAATATAGTCGGTGAGTTCGGAAAAGACCATCTCGATTCGGCGTGCCTTGCAGCGACGCTCCATCTCTTTCCGGTACTTCGCCGGATAAGTAGCGTTGAGAAGCATGTCGTCTGCTTGTACCAGGGTGATCTTCTTGTTCTGAGTGACAGAACGAGACGGCGATCTGAGAAACAATGTGGCGGATCAACTCCAGAGTGAACACTTACAGGGTAGATGTCTCTGAGTTCTCCAGCAGTCTCTGTAGCCCAACGTCAGAGCTTCCAGATGTTGAATGGGGCAACAGAGACGCACCAATACCGACAGCGCCACCACCAATGAGTACTACGTGATCTGCCTGTTCGTATCGCTTCCGCCAGTGGATGATGTGTTCGTGCATGTCCTCGCGTGTGTACGGGAAGTCGAGCGGACCGGACCACAGAAAGCCGCACGCGAGAATGAGCGCAGCGTACTGAATCCTTCCCCCGCTCTCCAGGACGATCTCTCCACCCTCTCCCCGCACCTTCTCGTCGATCGCTGTCACCCTGTCGACGACCAACCGGCCGTTGCCATTGATGAACAGTTTATCGTAGCTCATGAGGGCGAAGTGCTCGTATTCGCCCTCCTCGCTGATCGTCATGCGTGCGCCGGCGAGGAGGTGCACGGCGAATGGCCGTTCGTTGACGAGGATCAGATTATACTTCCGCGGGTCGAGCGTGCCTGAGAGGTTCCGCGCGACGAGCGCGCCGGCATGTCCGCCACCGACTACGATGACGTTCTGCTTGCCGTTCCAGTTCTCCTTCCAATGCATGTGGGGCAACAAGTCCAGCTGGCGGGTGTTGGGGACGGGAGGCGGAGAGAGGGGGGAGAACAGGAATCAAGTCAGAGACCTGATCCAGGCGAGAAGGCGATATACAAGCTGCGGGCACGACAGGCACGCTGATGCGGTGGACACACCATCTTATACGAGCGCTGGAGGAACGTCTCGCCCGTTAAGGGACGCGGGAGATCGCATGTGCAAGATGTGATCGAGAGGCGCCCACGTGGACGCTCGGTAGCAACTTACACCATACTTGCCTAGACTTGTCTTCGGTTCGACAGTGACGACGCAGTAGCAAGCGGTGGGCTTCGGCGAGTCACCTATGACCAACGATGCCATACTTGCGAACTGTCTGCGTGCACGGAGATGAAAGTAATTCTGAGCGCCATATCCGCGAGCTTGAAACGGTTGATATGGGTTAGTGGGAGATCCATGTATCAGCCAGGCCCGTCCTGTAGACGCGTGTCTGTTGCGCGTGAAAACTCACCCAGAAGTGGTATCTAGGAAGATTCCTCAACCAGTCCGTTGCGATAGATATGTAAGTGACCACGGGACCGAACCTGGAAAGATCGCACCGAGCCCGTGAGCCCGCCTTTCAGCATGATTGGAATGACAATCTGACCTTGGCGAATTCTCTCAACAACGACCGGCTCCACTCGGCGCCGACTGTGCTGTGGCAAAACGTCTCACTTGACGTTGAAACGACACTGAAACCTGCATGTCTGTTCAGCAAACTCTTGCCCACTATGCACCGCGTTGGGCTGTGAGTCTAAACGCGCACACCTGAGCGAAACTAAACGAAATACCTACAGCCCGGTCGGCGGATCACAGAGCCCGTCTGGGAGGCGCGCGCAGTACATAACACCTGCTACGAATTGATCGAATTGCGTAGAATGGTGCATCGCTTCACAGTCGCCATTTTCCAATGTGCGACCCTGTACGACCTCGGATCAGGACGGCCACAAGAGAGAGATAATGGAGCGGCGAGGCCCCTAAGATGCTCGCATATTGATGATCAGCGAATCGAACGCTAAAGGTCGGTGTGCATCCGATATGCGTCATCCAACGCATCGTACTAGGAGGGCATCACATCACGTCTGAAGATCTAACAGATTAATTTTGGCTCGATGATCAGGGATGCTTGACACGAACAGCGAGGGAGCTCAAAGAGAACGGCGACAGCGGGCCGGCCAGTGGAACTAGTGGAAGCAATTGGTCAGGCTTTGGATCAAGAACATCATACTCGAGCATCAAACCGGAGGTGTTCAGCGAGCAGCGTAACTTGATAGACAGCAGAGCATCGGTGAACGGACATGCACAGAGGTGGTCCTGGTGTCACGCACCTATTCGCAGAGGTTGCGGTCTGAATCAGAAGGAAAGTACTAGTACTTGCGAAGTACTCACGACGATACGATCGAAGTGCGGGGAGCGGCCGATGGCATCTGCAGATTCTCGTACCGCGGCAGCGACTGGCAGCGATATGTGCGCCGCGCTCGCGTGCCTTGAGTCCTTCCCCTCTAACGCAGTGTCCGCGCCGATCTGAAACAGAGGTCGTCCTTGCTGACTCAGAACTCGTCTCATCGCTGGCGCCAGCTGAGACATCCAAGTCGTTTGACAGGTCCGAGTCCCCTTACGCCCACACATCGACATCGAACACTTCCACCGAACGCCTTCATCTGTCGTCGATTCTATGTGGCACCGAAACCACAGCGCCAAGGGCTTCACGGCAGCGACCTGGCCCACATATCTGTTAAGCATACATGACAGTTTCGGCCGTCAGTCAGTGAGCAGCACATCCTTGAATATTTGAATTCTGTCATCGTACCAAACGCTGACCAAATCATTCGGCGACATTGTCGACAGCAGCCATTGGGCATGCCGAGGTCTTTCTTTGCTCGATGCGAAGCCGTCGGAGGGAGAGTTCTGAATGTCGGACGTGAAACAGGCTAATACGTTGGTCTCTGGCAAGCGGCAGTGGTGGCCAGGTGGCGGCGGCAGTGGCGTTCCAGCGTCGGCGCCCAAAGTACACTATTGCCGCTTCGGGCAATCCCACCTCTAGCATGGCCATTCACCGCCGCGTCTGCAAGTATCAGGTTTGTATGTCGATATGACGCTGTGCCGTGGCGGGTCAGGGCGAGTCGCGCGACCGGGTGCAATATGTAACGCCCTTTCAGGTCTGCAGGCTTCCATGCCACTGCTTGCGCCATTTCAGACGGGATGAGGCTGATGGACAGACTGTCGCCCGCTCAATGTGTCGATGCGCTGCTAGTGCCCGTGGACTGGACGTCTCCGAATAGAAGGCTTATATTATGGTGCGTGATGAAATTTGCCGCCATCTGTCGCTGAGGTACGCATAGGGGAGCAGCGGTTGGCCGTGCCAGCGAGGCTTAATCTTGCCGGGCACAGTGATGCTGAGCATTCTTCGACACCGTAAGGTTATTGCTACACTGTCGAATCGTCGAATCGAACGCATTAATCCCTGGTGAGTACTCTGACATCATATGACTCAAAACAGTGTACACTACGGTGCATCCAATGAGTGCCAGTGTGTATGCACAGAACCACACGTTTCCGGAGGTTGTTTATCATAAGGCGCGAGCAACAACTTGAAGCATCTTCCTCGTCGTAAGTGTGACCAACATTGTTCCAGACCGTGCTTCTCGTAACCTCGTTTCAACCACCTAGGACCCACTAGAGACCACAATCATGTTACGCTTGGAACTCGCCATCGCTCCCTCGAGCAGTCTCGGGTCACTGGTCCCCAACTCCCATCATATGCTGAACCACGTACGCGTCCTGCCAAAGTGACGAACACACCGCTGACAGCTTATTAAGGGTGTCCCAGAAAATTCCCCCCTTACTGTCCCTCCGCTGACACGACCAAGCGATATCGATGAAGGGTGGTACATCAGTGGTCGTTCAGTCAGCTGCGCAAGTGGGTTGTCGTTCTCATCATCTTCACGCCCATCCCCCGACAGATGCAAACTCAAATTCTGAGCGCTGATATCATGATATCCGATCCGTCAACGCGCGAGCAAAATCCCCGCATCCGCTCCGCCAAAAGACCTAGCCGTAGCTGAGGGTCTCCTCAGCTCATCCACGTAGACCGACTTACCCACGGTCAGACACACGCAGACGTCAACGTTTCAACAACAGCCGTTGACCGTCGGTCCGGATTCTGACGCACATACCGGGCCCATGGGGTATTCCCCGCAGCTGCGAACATCGATATCCAAGAGCCATGAATAGAACATGACGGTGAGAGCGACCGCACACTTGCGGGATCCTATTACAGTGATCCTCCACGCACGTCAGCCCTACCCGTGTCCAACGCTGCGCGAAAGCCAGTCAGCAACCACGCACGTCCACTCCGGTCCGGCACCCACCCAGCATATCTCAACTGAAGAGAGGGAACAGCAGATACTATCAAGTAGTTGAGGGTGTAAGGTACAGGAGGGACCCGTCTAGACACGGCCGCTCGGGCGTACTAGGTGGTGAGTAGTAGGTAGTACGCACTATGCTAAGTATGCAGAGGCCACCACGGCTGTTGCGTGGATGCATGTAAGAAAACTGAGGAAAGGAAAGGAAGTGAACCGCGTCGCGGGAAAGTGCAGCTGTCCTGGTAGGTATCAGTGTGGCAGTACTAGTGTTGGGGAAGAGCGGAAGGTAGGCAAGCAACAACTTCTCTGTGGTAGGATGGGGAGTGCGGGGTGTTATGCATGCGGAGTTCGATGAGGGGTAATGAGGTGTGCAGCGTGTAGTGGAGCAATGCAAGTGATGGTAAATGAAGAGTCCACAAGGTAATGACGCATGTGAAGGGAGGGTAAAGGGGAGGACGAAGAGCCGAGGGCGGGGAGGGAGGGAGCATCGCTATGTACATTTTGGCCGCCCTTCACGGCCGCAGACGCGCCCAATACAAGGTTGAGCGCACGGACCCGAGTAGATGGGTCATCTCGTCCGCTCCCCCTTCCCCTCCTCCTCGCCCACCCCCTCCACAACGGTAAGCCCCTCAATCTCCGCTTCCAGCGCCCAGGCATCCCCGTCATCCATGTCTGGTGGGACAATCACGCTCGTCTTCTCCAAGGCAACTGCATTCCTCTCCGCAACAGTCACCACCTCCCTCAACTCCCTCGGCACGAAAGGCGACCCCCCAACGCCGGGGCTCGGCGGGTAAAGCGAGAACGGGCTCGGCGGGGCGAGCGCAGGGCTCGGGAGCGCCGCGAGCTTCATCTTCTTCAGCGCCATGCTCGCCGGCGCCTGCATCTGCATCCGCATCCCCAGCGGCAGCCTGCTCAGTCCCAGATTCATCCCCAACCCCGCACCGACGCGCGCTGCCGCCTCAGGCTCTTCCGGGGCGCCATAATGGCCGACGTCCACCTCAGGGTAGATCGAGCTCAGCGGCGGCGTCTGCCCCGCGGACGACGACGTCAGCCGCGCCGCGAAGTACTCGTACTCCGCCAGCGCCGGGCGCGCGTGGCCCCCAAATGCATGGCTGCGTCCGCGTGCACCGGCTTCGTCGCCGTCCTGGTCCTGGTCCGTGTCCCCGTCGTGCTCGTCCGTGTCGCTCTCGGACGCGGAGCTCAGCGCGGGCGTGGAAAGGTCCGTCGGCGATAGTGCGCGCGCCGGGAGGTCGTTATAACCGTCCGATTCGTCTGTCTCTCCGTCTGGCGAGACGTCCAACGGGCTGTCTGAGCCTGAAGCGGCGGATGTCACTGACAGAGCTGACGCGGGGGTTGGCGGGGACGGTGACGGCTCTGGGATGGGAGCGAGGGTCGGTGTTGGTGCGAGCTCAGACTCGGGCTCCATAGCGCCCTCTGTCTCGGACGCAGGCTCTGGACGCGGCTCTGGAAGCGAGGGCGGGAGTGCGGATGGTGGTGAGGGCGGGGCGACGAGCGGGAGGAAGGTCATGTTCATTCGCTGCTGAGATGCTGTCAGCCGTACCGGTTCTGTAGGAGGTGGCGGCGGGGAGGCGGGCTGGACGGGTAGAAGCGGGATGAACGAGAAGGAGGGTAGGCGGCGGCGGACAGGTGGCGGAGATGTGGCGGTCGGTGTCGATGGGGATGATATGGGAGAAGGCGAGATGGAGTGTGACGGCGACAAAGGGAAGGGTAGCGAGGGAGGAGGCGAACTCGAAGGAGGTGCAGGCGGCGTCTGCACGGGAGAAGGTTGTGGCGGAGGTGATAGAGTTGGTTGCGGTGATGGTGAGTCGACCCTGGCGATGGGTTCGGACTCTGCGAGCAGCTCTGGACTCGAAGGTTCGGGCTCGGGCGGGGTGTCGAGCAGCGGTAGCAGCCGGATGGGGACGGCGTCGAGGTAGGGGAGGATGTCCGGGTCGAGATCCGCGCACGGCGTCGGGGTGGTGCCGCGGTTCTTCCACTTTGATGGCGTGTGGCTGGGCTGGGCTGCGAAGCGGGAGACCGGGAAGGGTCTGGACGAGGACGCGGCGGCGGTGTAGGCGGTGGGGAGGGAGGTCGTGAACGGCTGGCGGTAGGTGGGGGGCGGGGCAGGGCGGGGGAGGGAGAGGCGGAGCTGTTTGAGTTCGAGGACGTCTCTGCGGGCGGGGCGTGAGCAGCTGCTTTGAGGGTGCAGAGTCGCAGAGGTGCCTGTCCGGCTGCGCGCCCGGCCAGCTGCATGATGCGGGCCATGACGTCGCTCCGCACGCTGCGAGCCGGATTAGGCAGGCACGGACACCGGGCGTGCATGACTCGGATCGCGCAAGGGAACAGACACTCACTCGTAGGATAGCTTCGGGGTCACCGGCGCGGGCGAACGGTCCCACTCGTCCACCTCGAAGACCTCTTCCAGGTCGTCGTCCGCGCAGAACGACACTGTCTTCTGCAGCTGTGGCCGCTCGCCCGGCGAGGGTGGCGCAGACGCGTACGGCGAGTACGGCGGACTCGGGCTCTTCAGGCAGCTCTTCATCGCGTGCGTCGTCCGCGTGTGGAGGATAGGTAGGGATGCAGGGTCTAGATGCGCTAGCGGGAGTGCGGATCGTCTAGAGTGGAAAATTGAACTCGGAGCACTGCGGGTCTAGGAGTGTGTCGTGTGCGCGTCGCGGGTCGTCGCGATGGCCGTCTAGAATGCTGGCGGGTGTGCGGGGGCGTCGAGTGAGCGGTGCGGGGTGGGCGAGGGAGATATAGGGCGGCGGCCGGGTGAGCGGGAGGGAAAAGGTCGCCCCTCTGCCCGCCACGTGAGCGCCAAAGAGGGCGATCCCGGAACGCCCGCGTTTGTCGCGACGGAGCCTTGACGGAGCCCGCCCCGCCTCCTCGCGCTTGTCGGCGCCCAGTCCCCTTGACGTCGCCGGCCATGTCTTCTCCCTCCCCTTCGTCCCCCGCTGCCTCGTCCCGCTGCCTCTTTCTCCCTCTCTATCCCTCTATGCAGTCGCTCGCCGGTGCGTTCCTCAGGCACATACACGAATATCAGCTCCGTGCGCCATATTTGCTTCCGCCCTCCTGCTTCCGGAAGCTCACTTGCGCTGCCAAAACGCGTCGAACCGCGCTCATGCGTGTCGCCCCTCGTGTTTCCCTTGGACGTAAACAGCTGAGGCGCGATAGGCACGAGGGGGCGCTGGACGGTCAGGCGGGGCGGATCTAAGCGTTTCGTGTACCAGTGCGTGCGGTATATGATGCTATCTATGTAGCTCTTTCATTTCGCGGAATTGACGCTGTTGGCCACTGGCGCAGGTGTCGCGCACTGCGCGTAAGGTGTGTCACATCGCGTTGCTGTTCGTTCGAGCCGCAGGCACGCCGTCGCGTGGGCCAAACCTCTGCCGTCAGACAGCTTGTAAATATTGTCATCGCGACTTTTACTCCGTACTGCGTTCGAGGTACTTGTCCGGGCTCAGGATGTTCCAGTCCGCGCCTCCAACGCGCTTTGGACAATCGATGGACCGCTCATGCTTGAGTTCTTTCGGCCCTCTGTGGGCTCCATGTCGCAAGCATGAGAATCTGGATGGCTCCCGGACACCGTCGTGTCTTCCACCACTCGCAGATTACATCCACCAGGCCGAATCGCTTAGTTAGGCTGTCGCGGGATCCAGCTGCACGGAGACCCCATTTTCCTCCGCCACATAGGTCAGGAGCATGGGACGCTCGAGAAGTCCGTGCGGCGAACAGGCGCAAGTGACGCACCGCAAATACCAGGTAAGTTTACCCTTCTGCGACCTACGCGTCATACGCTGAATGGCCTGCCGCGCAGGACTTGCGGGAGACGCGCGGGGTGTTTCTGAGTAGCGGGTGTATCCGCCACGCCGAGTCGAGAATGGGCATGTACAAAGGGATGCGGCAGGATGAGATATGGACGTCATGATTCGTTAGAGACGAGGAATCTCACTCGTTGACAAGTATTTAATGTATGATCCGGTGTGTACGTTACGCAGAAGGCGATAGTCATCCCTATTTCTTTCAACATCGTAATAGGCAGGAGGTAACAGACGGCGGAGTGATGACCGCCAGGGTTGGTCTCAATCTGAGTGAACAAGTTCGTGCAATGGGCTCTAGACGGGATCAGACAGTCAGGGATCCAGCCATGAACAAACGGCGCGAACCAAGACATTCATTCTGCTACGAACGGCCATATACGACAAATTACGAGATGCTCGATCTCGGGAACGACGACGGAACAGAAATTACTCATCATCGACTTCGGCGCGAGTTGGTTTCCCCCCGCACGAGTGCGAGGGTACTTATCCCGAGGACCACGTAAAGGTCCGCGCCCGGATGAGCACCGCGTCCCCGCGGTGCCCGCCCGCCCTCGGGTGGCCCAACTTGCTGCTCTTGCACTAGACGCAGCCATGTCCTTGTGGCGCTTGACCCTTCGCTCTTGCCAGACCCCTTGAAGCCAGCCCAGTGAGTTTCTTACGGCGCTTGACCCTTCGCTCTTGCCAGACCCCTTGAAGCTAGCTCCCATGACTTTCTTGCGGCGCTTGACCCTTCACTCAAAACCGAGCTCTTGAGGCTAGCCAATCGGCGCTTGACCCTTCGCTCGTTCGAGCTCCCTTGAGGCCAGCCTCCTTTACCTTGCGGCGCTTGACCCTTCGCCCGACGTCGGGCTCTTGACGCAGCCCCCACTTCCGGCGTTTGACGAATCACACACATGTTGCTGTGTGTGATCATATCTTCTCTTACGATCCATTGGGCACTTGACGTACGTATGGTAGTGAGTAGGGGACGTGCGAGACGACGAGCGTGCAGACGTACCATTCTCCCAACGGATATCGCCGCCGAGTTTACTTTACTCGGACGCAACAGGTCGAATAGGCGGAGCAGGCGCAGACGAGGACATGACAGACAAGAGAAACGCACGCAGTCAGGAGGGCAAGCGCCTTAAGTATCCCGGTGGCTGACAGGGCGGCTGGTCGAACTTGCGACGCGTCGGTGGCGTAGGCTGACAGTCGATGAACGCCACCCGATGTCGCGTGTGGCTGGCAGGGACCGACGGCCAAGCTTCAACGCGACGTGGGCGTCGGTCTACGCGTCGGGTTAGATCGAGGGTGTTCGTTGGGAAGCCTGGGGCATGATAGACGTACATTTGTGAGCGACGACGCGCGCCCTCAGCTTTGTCCATGACTGGCGTCGTTGCGGCGTCGGCATCCAGAACCCGGAGCGGCTGACGAGGAGAACCACTTGAGAGCGGAGCCAGATAGTGAGCGACCAAGAAGCGCGGGCGGGAGGCATCCTGGAGAGGGGGGGAGGAAGAGTCGTCGCGGTTGAGTGGCAAAAGAGCGAGCATCGACGTCCCTTTATACGTTTGGCCCGAGTGGCACAAAGGGCACGAACACGTGGGTGTCGCATCCGCGAGGCCAGTCCGGTCCGCAGCGTGGTCCGTGATACGAGGGCGTTTTCCGCATTTGGGTGTTTGTGGGTCCACCTCGAAGAGAAAGCAATCGCTGGAAAGGGCGAGACTATGGTCAGCGCCATGCGGACGACGGGCATGATCACAGCTGATGCGCACGATATGCCTGATTGGTGTACTCCGCGGCGGACACGAGTAGGAAACGGGGCGAGAAGGCGAAAGCGATTCTAGTGCGGCACAGGACAAAGCATCCCTGGGTGGATAGCCTGGTAACACGGTGAGTCAAGGACTCCGCATCAGGGCGAGCGAGACGGCAGCGCGACGTAGATGATGTTCCGCGACGTACTGCAAGAACTGGGAATAGAAATAGCAACAAACTTTCAGACAGACAGCGACGCTCGGACTCAAGGACTTTAGCTATTACTAGTCTGGTGAAGTGAGTACATGCGTTCAAGCAGAGACTTCGGTCCACTGCGTATCCATCAGCGCAAGTTCCAGCGAGCACATTGATGTTTTGTTGCTCTGTAAGCTATAGGGTTGATAACGAGAGTCGAGGATAACGACATACAATGAGCCTTACACCAGTGGCAGTCGCCGAGACTCGAAATTCATAGCGTCACGTTGTCGGCGGTCGCCCACTGGCAAGGTGCCATGAGATTCTAAGCTATACAAAGGGGAAACAGCAGACAAGCAAGCGGTTTCTGTGATGATGGCAGACGTCCCGTAAGCCTGAAGTCCAGTAAGTTGAGTTCAGGCTGAGGCTGACTCGGAGGCTAGGTGCCACTGCCGCGATGGTGGTGGCGTGGATCTCGATCACTGGTGGCTGTCGCGCCCCCGGTGCCACCGCGTCGATCGTCACGGTTCTGCAGCGGCAAATTGAATTACTGCTCTCTTCTTCGGATGCACGTCGCACGATGCAAGCAAAACGCCTGGCAAGGCACATCCCTGAATCTCACTGGCATCATTATACACACGAGCTATCACATTCAAAGCACACTGCAGAACCTCTTTATGAGAAACACCAGTAAATTCGACCGAGCTGTCAGAGCTTCCCAGTTCGGGCTCCTCAGACAACGTCACTCTCCCTGAATCGAAGTGTCATCTGGCACAGATCCCCTGTTCTTTTCACGCGAATGCAACAAGTTGTCAGTCTAGTAAATGAAAGGTACGAGCCGGTACGGAACTCTTCTCGCCCACTCATCCCAGCTCTCCCCAAACTGCTCCTTCATCAAGGTATCCTCCTGACTGCACCGCATGATCGTACTTACTCAGCCCAGCGGACGCCCGGACCCCCACGAAGACGCACGCTGCGACCACACCTGCCGGCCTGTCCAGCCACCCCACCTCCTTCGGCCACGACCCTGCACAGCAGTGTCACAGCGCGACGCCGACGGTCTGCACGCACCACCCGGTGTAGCTCGGGTGACGCACGACAGAGTACGGCCCACGCGTGCACAGCTGGTGGCCTCCTTTCACCGTCACCTGGAACGTGAAGAACCTATCCAGCGTCCGGAAACATGCGACATGGGCCGCCGCGCCGAAGACGGTGAACGCGCATCCAGCGAGGAAGATGGACGTGGGTCGTATCCGTGCAGCTGCACCGCTTCCGTCGAGAATCAGCTTTCGAATCGGAGGACGGTCGTGCTGAACTCGCGCGCGATGAGCACGGCGGTGGTGCACCCGGCACTCGCCCATGTCATGTACTGCCAGCGTTCATCACAATGTCAGCATCGTCACAGATACGGTGTACCCGAGCGTCGCTACACCTTGACAGTGTCTCCCATCCGTCTCGCAACCCTGTTAAGTATCAGCTCCCTTGGCTTGACATCGTTTCTCACTTCGTCGTCCTTCGGCGTCGGCGTCGGTGGCGTACTCGAGCGATGGGTCATATACGCAACCACGCCCAGAAGGGTAACGTGGAATGCTGTTCGGGCTGGCATTGCCTTAAGAACCCTTTGAACTATCGTACCGCGGCATGAAGGAGATGAATAGCGTCGACTTGGTACGAAACCTGGCGGTCTGACGACCACAAGGCTTCATACAGAAAACAGTCCGCGCGTTTTCCATCGCCTAGTCGTCGGGATCGGATAGCTGAGACCTCCAGCTCTGCCTAAGGTGCGGCACGTCGC